ATAAATAGATGCATACATACATACATTCATAAACATATGCATATCAATATAAGTACCACTTACTGAAGGGTGGACTGAAGGCACTGTAATGCTCCGCCACTTCGTGCACCAGTGCATCCCACCGCGTGAGGTGTGCCGCTGCGTCGCAGTAGCCGTTCATCACAAACGCAGTTTGTGCTGTCTGTGACTTGGCGTCTTCTGACTGTGCTCTGGATAGTGATAGAGAGTTTTCTAATTATAGCAACCGTTGACAAACGATCTGTATATAGCCACGCTCAGGAGAGGCAGAATATGTATGCATCGTATTGGAGAGGTGACTTGAAACTTGGTGAATACACATTTATGATAGTGACTACACAGCTATATTATGCATAACTACAGTTGCAATGATTGCAAGGGTGTGTGTGCACTTAAGACTCTTCTCGATGACACTTGTATATCATCGTACTCGGAATAGGTTGCGTTTACATTCACGTATATACATTATACCTACATATATACACATGTACGTATACATTAGGCATGTATCCTAAATTTTAGGGCCTGTATTGAAGGGCTTAGGTTTTAGAACATACCCTCGTCTTAGAGGTTTAGTGCTTAGAACATGGCCCCTTTATAGGGGGCTAGGGTGTAGAACATGTCCCCTCATTGGGGGTTTAGGGTCTAGATTATAGCAAGAACGTGCCCTTTATTTAGGGTTGTAGGGTCTAGGACATACCCTCTGTGCAGCAGTGTTTGGAAGCTCTTTTCGGCTTTAACCCAATCACTGGCGCCTTCCGCCTTTAGCGCCTCTCTCATTTCATTCCCCATGGTGTCACTGAGAAGAAAACAAAAAATGACGGTCAAAGCCACGCAGTGAAGTAACATATACTGGATAAATTGTAATGTACAGGTTGTACTATAGTGCTAAATCGCGAGCATATTCTTGTGATGACATAAATTTAGCCAAAATTACGACCAGGCATATTAGGTGATAGTAGGTATATAAGGAGTATGGACCAGCATTTTGATTTAAGGCCTTTCCTATATCATCGGTTATTGGGTGTTTAAAGACAGATCACGCCACAAAAAAAAGCCTTAATACATCTAATGGGTATGTGTTGTCTGAACTCGTATATTGCTTCAAGGGACTGTACTATAGCATCAGTCACAGAGTTTCTAAAAATAGGATATACTCAAAATAAGAACTAATACATAAACAAGTAGTGTTGCAAAAGTGTGGAATAAATTCCGGCTATAAAGGAAAAACAATAGCTCTAAATATAGAACAATTTTTTTATAGATAAACCGCAATCCTTTAAACGGCAGCGAAACATATTGATGGTGGTACTACATATCCGTAGCCACAACACATAAATCCAACCGTCCTGATTAGGGTCTAGTAAAATCATAAGTCCTATTTCTTACACCGTCATGCAAGCCAAGTGCAATGCTAAATACATACTTACATACATACACACCCACACCACACCCACACAGACAGATAAAAATAGACATACGAGAGCAGCCCTTGTCCTTGGCCCCTGTCGCCGCTTAACAGTCCACTGAGCACATCGAATTCGCCCAATTCTCTATACACATAAGCCAAATGCAACCACAGCCGACCAACCAGATTCTTTTCTTTTTCGCGTTCCCGCGCGTCATCAGACCGGATGGCTAAATATGGCAGGTGGAGTGAGCGCAGGTAGGAATCAGAGATGATAGAGATGAGATGTTTTAAGAACTATGTGGACCAGAAATTAGTTGGGCCAAATGATAGTTAGTATATATATATATATATATATACATATACGTACATACATACATACTATACTTATGCATAGATAAGTACACGCCCACACAGGCACTTCCGTTCACATGCTATTACACGTAAATATAAAATCACACAAGTATATATACAAACATAGACATAGACACAGACACAGACACATACAAACACAGACACATACAAACACACACACACACACACACACACAACACACACACACACACACACACACACACACACACACACACACACACACACACACACACACTATTATATATAC